GTAGTACTACACACACACACACACACACACACACACACACACACACACACATATATATATATATATATATATATATATATATTATTGTATGTATCCATCGTTATATCCAGCGGTTGTAGGTGATTGTACAAATGGATCAGCAATCCAGTTGCGATTGTCCTGGCTTTGAATTGGCATGGGTGCGTGTGGTAGTTTGTCCTTGTATCTATTGATAATACGTCTGCGGATAGTCATGAGATATTGCGTATGTGGCGTTTGGTTAATTCAGACGCTCTGCTACCCTCTCATAGCTATAAAAAAAATTGCCTCCCAGATTCACCTAACAAGGCCCGGCGTATTCAGACTCTGATATGCACACACATACTTATCCCATACATAGCACAGTCGATGATACTGATGGGTTCTATATATGCTCATTTCAACTCTCAGTGTATTCCATTCACGTACTACTACTACACGTGCACCTCAAACCCTAAACCCTACACCTCACCGAAACGTAAACCCTTTAGGATGTTGACGACGAAGAGGTGCGCCGAGATAACTCAGGCGCCCAAATAGCCCCGTTGCCATGGAAACACATGAGCGCTCAACCACCAGGACACGCACAGGCACAGACACACGGCCTGGCACCACCACCAAACAAACGGTCCAGACCAACGTCTCTGTTGCATGTCGATGTGCAAGTGGATGCCCAGGGGGTGGTATGGTTTGTGTAGTGTGTGTGTGCATGTGTAGTTTTGATAGGTGCTTTGTTGTATGGTTTGTGTAGTATGTGTGTGTTTGTGTAGTTTTGATAGATGCTTTGTTGCATGGTTTGTGTAGTGTGTGTGTGTTTGTGTAGTTTTGATAGATGCTTTGTTGTATGGTTTGTGTAATATGTGTGTGCTTGTGTAGTTTTAATAGATGCTTTGTTGTACGGTTTGTGTAGTTTGCTTGTATAGTCGTGATAGATTACTATCAACTGCACTCACATTCTATTGCTAACAACTACACTCACTTTCACCATGTACATCTATTACTATCACCTACACTCACAATCACCATGTACATCCATTGCTAACAACTACACTCACATTCACCATGTACATCCATTACTATCACCTACACTCACATTCACCATGCACATCCATTACTATCAACTACACTCACATTCATCATGTACATCCA